GGCAAGGGCAGGCCCACAATCGAAGGGGAGTCACCTGGGAATATCCAAGCGACTTACCCTTTCCAAATCATAGCCATGAATCATATCCCCTCGTTGCCCAAGTCGTTCAAAGGAAACACAGAATTGTTGATTTGGGTGAACCTGTTCACCGGATACGTGATAGTCAAAGCTAGTGCGTCTAGAACTGTGCAAACTATTGCTGAATCGTACGAGGAGTGTCTTTTCCGAAGATTTGGAGCTAGCGAAATGATTAGACATAATCGGGAGCCAGGCTTTATGTCTGATTTCTTTCGAGCATTCAACCGGATCCTGGGGCAGCGACAGCGAGCAACCATGGCATACCGTCCCCAAGCTAACGGGTCGGCCGAGCGCATGGTGCAGACGATCACGAGAGCACTCAAGATGTATGTCCAGGATTTGGATCAGAGGGATTGGGATGAGTACGCAGAACGACTCCCCTTCGCGATAAACACCGCCCAAGACAGGATCCGGGGTGATACCCCATTTTACTTGGTACATGGGTGGGATCCCAAATCCACCCTGGAAGCGGCCATCCCAGTATGCAGCACCAAGAAGAGAAACCGAGATCCAAGGCGATGGCGATACCAAGTCCAGAAATACTACCGGCAAGCTAGATCCCAGGTGAACGAACGACTGCGGAGTGCGATACAGGATCGAGCGGATCGACACAACGAAGATGCCCGTCCACATCAAATCCAAGTGGGATCGCAGGTGTGGCTTTATTTGGATCGAGTGAAAGAGGAAAATGCCCCCAAATTAGCCCACCTATGGCATGGACCGTTCCGGGTGAGCGAAAAGATAGGGGAACATGCGGTGAAGTTGGAAACGGCAGGTACCGAATATCGCTTGTTCCCTGTAGTACACGTATCCAGCTGAAGCTGGTCAGGGGATATCCGGACCGGCCGCAAACCCGTCTTTTGGTGGATGAATCCGACCGGGTGGATTTCGACGAAGTCCTCCTACCGGAAGATAGTTGGAGTGTGGATCTCGAAGCCGACGAGTTCGAAGTTGAGAAGATCACCGACATGAGGTCAGGGAAGCGAACTAGATACCGACGGATTTACCGCGAATTTCTGGTGTACTGGCGTGGATATGACGAACCCAGTTGGGTAGACGAGACAGATCTGAGCTGTGGAGCATTACTCTACGATTTCTTGCGGGATCGTACGAATCGGAACAGATTCGGCGTGATGTAGTCTCATGAAGAAGATTAGGAAGGGATCCATGGATGTGAGTTGGTCATGTCGACGGGAGGATGATGAAGGACCCACAGGAAGGGTGTGGGCCGGGAGGAGGAGGATCGCTGATGTGAGTTGGTCATATCGGAAAGAAAGAGAGGATGAATCCACAGGTGAGGGGTGGATTAGGAGGAAGGAGTGAATGTTTATGAATAAAGAGTGACGTTTTACGTGCGAAGAGTCCCGCTTGATTTCAAGCGCGAGCTTTCGGGAGCCCGAACTATACTGACCCAATTGAGACGAGTCGTAGGAGCTGGATCCGGATGAATTCCAAGCGTGGATCCAACCCGGACCCAGAAATTAGCCCAGATCCAGATGTACACTGAAAGGGTGGA